ATCAGGGTGTGGGAGGAGGTCCTGGAGCAGCCTTGTCCTGGGGGATGAGGTCAAAGAGCACTGAGGTGACGGCAGTTTGACAGTGTGGCTTTGGTCCTTGTGGGTGCAGGAGGAGGTGGAAACCCAAGGAGGTCAGGAGGAACAACATGAGCACTGGGAGACGTGAGGGATGACTAAGAGAGCTAAATTTACAGAGTCTGGGAAAAGGAAGGCTCAGGGGCAACTGTGGTCACGGGCTAAAAATACCTTCAAGGTAACAGCATAAATGAAGAAAAGAAATTACACGTGGTCCCAAAGGAGGTGAGGGCAGGAGGAGGAGCTGGAGGGCAATGACAGAAGTGTGGAGAGTAGAGATGGGGAAGGAGACCTGGCCAGTGGGGAATTTTCCAGGAGAAGGGTCTGTGTGCACTGAGTGGGACAGAAGCAGAGCAGTCTAAAGGTGACAGGGAAATGGGCTGGGTGCTGGTCCCTCTGTGACTTACACTCACTTTGTGGATGCTCTGAAAGTAACACAATTGAATTCAAGAGAATTCACCTTAATTTTGCTTTTCTTCCACTTGTTTGTCCTTCCACATGCCCAGTTAAGCAGATGTTCTTTCCAGAAACCAGTTTTCCTTAAAGTCAGGCCTCCACGGCACAAATTAATATTTAGAGCTCAGCAATTTTAATCACCCTTAGAAAGGAGGAACATAAATTTCTAGCTAAGAATGGAGCATGTGTGTCTCCCAAGTCAATTCAGCATAACTTGGAGAGATTTCTGTTCATACAGTCAGACACTTCCAGCTGCAGCTCAAGCTGATCTCATACAGCAGGATTTGTCCCAGGTTTTTCTGGAGCAGCCTCCAATGAGGTCGGTGCTGTCTAAGAACAGGGCAGGAAGATGGATGGTGGCACAGAAATTTTGCATCCAATAAATATGTAATATAAAATAAGCAGCTCTGTCAGCAGCAGGATGAAGGGAGCCTGGCTTCTTATCAGCATGTTGCTTGCAAATTCTGATTGAAGATTTTCAGTGGCTGGGAGGCGTGGCCTCCTCATGGGCACCTTTTCCTGTGCCTGGTAAAGAAGAGAATACACTTTAAAATCCCCTTTGAAGGGGGAAGAAGGAGTCATTGGGGAGCCTCTGTCTATCAGGGCTTCTAGTTATGATGAAAATGGATAGAAAATTAATTAGCATTGAAACAGATGACTGTCAGATTTGATCAGGACTGGAAAACCATCTGGTGCATCTTCATTTCAGGTGATTTTAAAAAAAAAGTCTAAAAAAATCAGTGCTGATGCTGTGGTTGTGACTGATTGCCAAAAGCAGTCTTTGCTCTCTGGCCAGTTTGAACCCTCTTGCCCTCGAGGTGGTCCTTCTGCACCAGTGTCCTCACCACCCTGCACATACTCTGCAGCTGTACCACATCTCTTCATCCCAAATGTGGGAGCTTTGGCTGAGCATTGCCTTCTATTCCAGCCAGAAATGCCACACTCTCCTTTCTCCTTTGGAAATATGTAGATTTCTCCATTTGAGCACAGAAATTATCTTTCCTACAACTTTTTTCCCCTGAAGGCTCCACCTTATGCTGGGGAAGCATCTCCTTCCAGGTCGAGTTCCTTGTATGAACTAACCTCTCTTGGGTCAGGGCTGCTGGTTTCAAAGCCAAAACTGATTTGTCATGTGTTGGGAAGAGTCAGGCAGGGAAGAGACATGAATAATCAATAGACAGGGGCTCCTGAGGGCTGTTTTCTGCTCAGAGAAGAGGATAGGGGTGGTGGGAGGTGAGGGGGAGCTGAAGCAGAGTGAGATGGGTGGACACTGGGTGCAGGGAGACCGAGCTGTTCATGTCTTTTCCCTTGGCAGGTTAGTGTTGCTGGGATGTTGCAGCATCCTGTACAAGGGGAGGTAAAGCCATCTGCTTTAGGGTTTGAAAATAGCTCTGGGAGAGAGCTGTGAGTGACAAAACCCAAGCTATGGGTAGCACAGTTCACACAAACCACCAGCTGGGTGGGGATGGAGAAAGGGCTCTCGTTCAGTGTTTCAAGCAGAAATTTATCCCTGGAGTCATTCTACATTATTTCACACCAGTCATTTCTTACTACATCTCAAAAATTGCCAGGGGACAGAGCATGGACTTTCTGTATCTTAACATGGATTGATAGATTTCATCCTACCTTCAGGGTCTAAGCTATCTGCCATGGTGTTTGTGTTTTAAAGCCATCACCAATGTTGAAAGCAAAGGACTGACTCAGTAATTCTGTTTGTTTGTGGAGACATAATGTCCTTGGATCAGATAAAAGCACCTTCCCACTGCTGCTTTTATATACCTCATTAATTCCAAGTGTTAATGGCTGTGTCTTGTCTTCTGCTACCCAGCAGAAGTGGCACACAAGTGACTTCATCTCCAAAATTACCTGCTGCAGGCTCTGTGCAGGACATCACAGCTCAGTAAGTGTTTGAGTCCTAGTTGTTCCCTGAGACTGCTGCTCCTCTCAGGGCTGCAGCTGGCCAGGCACTGGACACTGGATCAAGGGACAGTTCCTGTGAGTGACACGTGGGGGTGGAAGGGGTAAAGCCACGTGCTTCTGAACACTCAACTGCATCTGGTGGTGCCAACCCATGGGACATTATAAAAAAGAGTTAGAGATGCCCTAAGGGTCCAAGGTAAAAAGAAAGAAGGGATGAGGCTAGAAGAGGCCTTCATCCACAATTTCAGGCCTTTTCCACCTCCTAAAGGTCACTCTATTTACAAAAGGAGGCAATCCTTGATGCCAAGGCCTTGCTTGTCTTTGAGGTTTTTCCTCCCACCTGAGTGAAACAACAATCCCTGACTGTCCCTACAACCACAGCGTGCCTTTCCTCAGCCCACCCATGACTTGGAAAGGGTGAGATCCCACCCCTTACCTTTCCCACTCCTGATTTCTGGTGGTCTCAGAAATGCAGGACACCCAAAGCTGTGCTGCAGTGTGACACTGCAAATGACCAACTAATTAGGCAAAGAGGAGTGTGTTGAATTTAGATTCTTCTTTAGGGCTCACAGACTATTTGTAATCTTGAATTTGTTAATTGAAAATTGCTTCCTTTGTTTGTTGTTGGCCTTTTTGTGGAGGGGGATATTTCCTGCTTTGGGACTGCGTCACTGGATCTATAATAATGCACTTTGTACATTAGTGCCAGGCACATTTGTAATTGGCCACCCTATTAAAGAACACTAATGATCTTACAAGTGTTCACAAATAATGAATAGAATGGCCCCCTCATTGAATTGAGCAATTTATTCACTGACATACTTGCAGATCTGTTTTTCCAGTATTTAACCCAGCTTTAGTTTTCTGCCTGCCTTGCAGAGATGGATTCTCTTTCAGCCATGTGTTGGAGAGAATATGGGTCACAGGAAACGTTCTGTTCATAAAAAATGTAGGGCTGCTCCACACTCACTCTTCTCTCAACGTGCATGTCAGGGTTTGGAGAGTGAGAGGCAGCAGCTTTAATCTCAGTGCTCCTCTCATCCATTAGTTCTCACTGGGATCCTCCTGAAAAATTAGGAGAGGACCAAAAAGCCAGGACTTGAGAAGAGCACTCTGAAAGGTTATGTTGATTTTCTCATTTAAATATGAATTTCGGGAAAAGCTGGCAACAATACAGAGTGGTAAGATTGGTTTTCCAATGAAACCCAGCCCTGAGTGGCTCCTGCAGCCATAAAACTCAGGGCCACCATTTTGCTGCTTTTCTACTCACATTGTATCAAGGTATTTATGATGAAAGGCGCAGCCTACCTGAGCTTGCTATTTAATTTACATCCAAAAAGTTTTGTCCTAAAGCCTTGTTTTACTTACAAAGAACATGCAGAGGTGTGCAGCTCACAGATCACCTGTGATTTTTTTGGGTTGTAAGGGACAGAAATGTCACTGGGAAGTAGATGATGATCTTGGGCTTGATTTTATTTGATTGGAGGTCTTCCCATTGCACTGCAAAGAACCCTTTCCATGGAGGAAAATTATGTGGGGCAGGCACCTCTGTCCTGTCTTCTGCAGTCTGCCTGTCTTCTCCTGAGTCCAGTGAAGGTGTGCCAGCAGGAAATATGCCTTGGGGCAGAATCCAGCCATGGTGTAAGGGGGGAAAATGCTGCTGCTGGACTATAAATAGTGAGGTATTAAAGAGCTGATTTGGGTCAGCACATCTGGAGATGGACTTTCTGTGCTGGGAGCTTGGCTTCTGAACAGCTTGGTGACCATGTCACGGTGCAGTTTCAGCATGAAAGCTGAATTTGGGCTACCAAGAGGGTAGGTTGGGCCTTTGGGAAGAGTGGAGAAAGGGAATGACTTTGCACAGTGGGATTTGTGGAGAGGTTGAGCAGGTCTGCTGCTGAGTGGGCTCACGGAGATGGGGCACAGACTGGGTCCCCCTGTGACACTGTGGCAGTGTCTGCACCCCCTGCCAGTGGGAGCAGGAGGATGGCATCCCAGCACAGGGCACTGCCCAGCCCTTCCCGGGGGGCAGGAGGAGCCCCCTCCGCGGTGGTCTTGAGGGGGGTGCCAGAGCCTGGTTTGGGGAGCCGACACCGGGCTGGGGGCAGCAGGAAGATGTTGTACCTCGATCTGAGGGTGGGATGTCCGCCCCTGATTTAGGGGGGACCTACATTTAGGGGAACAACGCCAGACACTGCTTTTCTTGGTGGGGGGCGCGATCGGACCCACTCTTTTTTTTTAATTTTGAGGGGGTGAGGAATGCCAAGCCCGGATTTTTAGGAGTGGGGAGGGGTGTGTGTGG